GTTATGAACGAACCAATGAAACTCATTTGTCCGTGTTTCACTCTCGAATCGCAGAAAGCGCTTGAGAAACAGTGTCTCTTCCGCGGCTCGGTATGCTTTCAACTCGTTTTTTTAGTCTCGAGCAAGACTGTACAACATTCACATTACATGATTTGACTGATCTTTACGTAGAAATGGCGACAACGCACCACATTAAAAGAAATGATCATTCATGTTTTCATAACGGCTGGCCAAATTCAAAAACAAAACTAAAATTCAATCATCTTTGAGAGCAAGGGGGCCCCCTGGTGTTTCGGGGGCCCTACGCAGCTTGCGTATTTTGCGTATAGGGAGGATCAGCTCTGGCTTCACTATTATAGGCTATATAATTATTATACTGTACACTGTCTAAAGAGATGATGCAGGGATGGCCTATTTTTGTAGGCCAAAACCTGGAAACAAGTTCACATTTGAGTAATTCTGGTTCTGAAATTCTGAGTCATTGAATGGCCTAAAAGTCTGTGGTGAACATAAGAGTTCAAGAAATTTTCATGTTTTATTCTACAACATAAAATACATCAGTAATACACCTCATTTAAAAAAGAAAAAAAAAAGCTTGAAAAAGATGGTGGCGAACAAGAATAATAAACTTTTGTTGGTTGCAGAGTTTATTTTCTCCAATAATCCAAAAGCCAATGCAAAAATCCAGTCAGATTTTTGTCAAAGGAATCAGGGTGATGCTGGTCTGCAAAAATATATCATCACTGCAGCGCTCTATACATAGCGATAAGAGTTCAAGTAAACGTGTTATGTTATTTTAAGTGCACATGTACTGTAGGTAAGCCATTCACCTCTTTGATCAGACTGGCAACATAGAGTGCAGTGAGAGGCGTCTGTTCTGCCACCTTCATCACCACTGTGTTTCCTGTGGCCAGAGCAGGACCGAGTTTCCAGGCCTGCATCAACAGTGGGAAGTTCCACTGGAGGATGGTGTGAGGAAACAACGGCGACATGTGAAAGACAGAAAAAAATATTGTATTACTCAGCAAATACAGTACATATTCAATTCGAAAATTCCACAGCATATACTTACAGGGATAATTTGGCCACACACTCCAATGGGCTCATGCCTGGTGTAGCAGAAGTAATCACCATCAATGGGAATGGTCTTCCCCTCCCATTTGTCTGCCCAGCCAGCATAATACCTACAGACCAACCAACACCCAACAGAAAAAACAAAGTTCTGACCTTATGATTAATTTCACTCCCTTTATCAGATTTAACTGCGCACCAATCATTATAAAGAAGTTAAAGAACCTTCGGAACTACTAAAATCAGCAGAGGATCAGATCATATCAGATATTATAAAGCTTGTCAGTGGCAGATATGATACATATATGTCACTTCTGAAGCAAATATCAGCTTTTTTTGTATTTGAAAAGAACGAAAACTCAAACATATAGATAAATATATAAGAGCTTCCTTATGTTATAAAAAAATAAATATATGTATGCTCACTCAAAAAATATTTATGTATTTGAATTGCATATAAAACTTAAAGCCATTTGGATTACACAGTTCTGAAGTACTGAACATAGTTCAAATATGACCAGCTGCAATATTTAATTAGTTAAATATGTATGATACTGAATCAATTTGGATTTATTGATGATAAATCTGGTTACTGTGTATTTAAAACACTTTTTATTAGTTTATTAGTACTATCCCAGAAATCCTGTATAATTTATGTATGACTGACACATGCATCATGTTAAGTTCATTAATGTAAGGTAAAACTGTGTCATCTTACATGCAATTCAAATACACAAATCTTAAATTTGGGTCAAAATATTTTTTAGAACTGCTCAGATGTGATTAGTAATCTGCAATGCAAGACACTAATTATGCAACTCAGAGAAAGGACTGAGTTTCCTCAGACTAAAATGTGCAATGGGATATTAGTGTAAAGTCTTATGGGTTTGGAATAACACGAGGGTGAGTAATTAATGACAGAATTTTCATTTTTGGGTGAACTAACCCTTTAAGCAAGCAGTGAGTGAAAAAGTAAGAGAAAATGTGCCTGAAAAGCTCAGATGTAAATTGTATAATTCATATAATTGGGGCCTTTTCGGATTCTGTCGTTGGTCTTTCATTTTGCTGAATCATACTGATAGCATTGTTTTATACATTTGATAAAACAGCTCAATGTCAATGAGGACAAAGATTGTTTGAGTGACTCACAGCTAAATAGGCAGCGTCTCTCTCTATGCAGTCTGCTAATCGGCTCAAGAGAAGCCCACGATGGGACGCATCCATACGCCGCCAGGGAGACCCAAGCTTGAAGGCATCTTTGGCAGCTTTGACAGCTTTTTCCACATCCGACTGCATGCAAAAAAAAAGCACGAGAGAGAAACATAGTCTGAAAATGTCATGCAAGACTGATGTGAGAATGATTCAGGCCAGTTAATGCAACTTTGCCCTATCAGACCATATTTCTTAATTGGCAGCATTACTTGATATACACTGCACAAAATACAGATATCCTAATGAGTTCATTTCAGTGCCAGAGTCTTTATTAAGTTATGCTTATTACATTATATTTGTGAGGTAACGTTAGTTCAGTTAAGGCTGGCTATTTGGCATGTGTTAAATAAATATGCATGGCTATTTTTAATCCCAGCTCCTGGTTTATATCTGCCATGTAACCCAACTCTTAAACATATACTCTTCACAACTCTATAGACCTAGCATGTGTTAACACATTAACTACAGTAATACTAAAAATAATCAGCCTTGTTATTATTTAATAAAAAGGAGTCATATTTGATTTGTCAGTGGAGTGAAACTTAAATTTAGGTCTATTCCTCATCATGTTGCTTCAAAAGACTTGGCCCTTTTCAATGTATTGTATTAGAGAAAAAATATCTTGATGCTCAGCTGGTTTAATCAGATAGTCAGCCAGTCTCTCAACCTGACCAGCTGAAAAGTGCCCAAAATCCAAAGAGTTTACCAGCTGAGACCAGCAAACCAGCTACTTTAAGACATTTTTATTTGGCACAGATGTACTTGGATTTTGAATTTAAAATACAAAATTCAAACACCTACCTTACCGCCCTCTGCGACGTGGCAGATAACCTCACCAGTAGCAGGATTGATGGTTGGAAAAGTTTTCTTGCTTACTGCATCGTGCCATTCATTGTTGATGAAAATCTGAAGAAAAAAAGAGACACATTGACATGCTCTGGCATTTTAAAATGTTGAAGTCAAAGTCAACTTTTACTGGTATTTTTTTCGCATTGCAGATCAATGGACAAAAACATAAGAGACCAAGTATTTACATGCCACTGGCAATAAATTATGACAGCTAAAACTAGGGCTGCATGTTATGCAGGAAAAATACAAGGTAACACTTTATTTTGATAGTCCACTTTAGACATTCTACTAACAGTAAGTAACTTTACAAATATGTCAACTAGCAGTCATTAGAGTATTAGTAGACTGTGCATAATATCTTCTAACAGTATTTTGATTGGTCCACAACATACAACATACTAACTATAAGAAATGTTCAAGTATATGTCAACTTATTCTACTAAACCTAACCTAACAGTCTACTCTGAGAGTTAGTAGACATGTAGTTGCAAATGAATGAGAATTAGTTGACATGTAGTTGCAAAGTTACTTATAACAAATATGAACTTAGGGCTGTAGGAATTGGTCACATTACAAATGGAAATTATAATTGAGCTCATCTCCTGTCATTCATTTATCTGAAAATCAAACTGAATTTCTGGCTGCAGGAAACACCTTAAAGAGCGGAGTGTTGTTAGTTGAGAGGGTTTATCTAGAGTTTATCTAGATTGGTCTATATACTATATGCTGCACAGGTGTTGATGTAGCACCTACACTCAAGATGACAGATTACAACACCAAACTGTTTACATTTATCTGGAAGCACAAACCACACTATATGATAAGAGATAACCTGTCATGCAAAGATCTGAGGAGAACTCAATGTTTTAGATTTTAAGACTTATAATATTATTTATGAAAACTGCTTTAAAAGGTAATTACACAGGTTAAGTAAAAGAATGGTAATGGTGTTTTACATTATAGTGTAATCTTATTTGATTATAATTTCTTAGTCAGTATGTAATATTGAGTGCTATTAAATGTTCTCTCTCTCTCTCTCTATATATATATTATAAGCAATCTCACCTCACAAGTTTCATAAAAAGATTGTCTACTAGTAGGCTTATGTCCAGTTATGACACTTGTGGTACTGCGTTTTAAAATGTGTAAAATTAAGTAAATTTGTAAAATGTAAATTGTTTCTCATTATTATATACATACTGTTAAATAGACCCAAAAATGTATTTGAACATTTTAAATCAATACCCTCACATGCTTATTTTGTAACACACACACACATACATACATACATACATACATACTGTAGTTGTTGTGTGTGTGAGTGAGTGAGAGAGAGAGAGAGAGAGAGAGAGAAGCTAGCCTAGAATTATGATAAAGCTAAGATAAAACAGAAATGGCATTTTCTCGATGGAGGCGGGGTTTGAAAACACGCCAAGTTCATTAACCTTCTGTAAAATGTCTTTTACATTAAATGCAATCGCCATAACTCTACGGCAGAGCAATTCGAGGATCATAACGATATCATGCTACGTTAGCGTAATGATAAGTCTGCAAACATTTAGTACAAATGTAGTTATAATATGAGCAACATACATGTTTGAATAAACGTGAAGTCTCAGGATTTGGTCGTTACCTTGTTATAGTGAACGTCTGGGTGAACGCTCGGTGCAGGAATCGTTGAATGCTGACATGCTGAAATACGGAAAACTTGAGGAAAAGTTCTGGAGAAAACAGCGCGCAGCATTTTTCCTCACTTGCCTTCAACACTGAGACCGTTCACTGTCGATGAACTCGGACTTCAGAGCAGAATGCGTTCGCTTGTTGCCAGATATTTGCGAGGAAACCAATGTCATAACATCCGCGCGTTTACGTAAGACACTATAATTATTCATTGTGTATATCCATCAGCAGAATTATATCAGTATTAACCGAATCAGCGGCGTTTACAACAAATAACTCTGAATGTGAAGGAACGAAAATGTCGAAAACTTGTGGATCTGGCAACAAACAAACGCTAGAATGCCTGCGTAAAAGTCGTGCTTAATCCAAAATCATTTTCGCGAAACGTAACTAATAAATAAATAAAATATAAACATTTTAAAGTATTTAAATACTGTTAAATTATATAGGAAAATACTGAAATAAAATGTACATATGCTGGTTTTTATTTTGAAAGACGAATCATGTGACACCCTGAGGCCGTGACAGTCATATGACCGTGGCTTAGGCAATATGGCGTCACATTTGTTTTGCGGCAGAGTAAACCTCAATATTTTGCGAGAAGCTGCACGAAAAGACCTGCGCGAATTTTTAGACAAGTGTTCGGGAAGCAAGGTAAAGCTCTTTGCTTTTATACTAACTAATGCAGATTAGTCTCTAACTGTCCCTCTTCTGTCAGATTTGCTCAAAACATACTGACCGCCTAACAATGTGAACTGTACTTTATGTTGTGGTTGCAAATGATTATTAATACAAATATTGTTCAGTGATTCTGTCGGTGGACATGGAAGGTTTAGAGCTTTATTATCCTTTAATGTATGTTTTCGCAATTTTTTTTAAGGCCATTGTTTGGGACGAGTATCTTACAGGACCTTTCGGCTTGATTGCTCAGTATTCCCTTTTGAAGGTGAGAGAAATTGTACCAAAAATACACATTTAGTGGACAAAATATAATTTAATATTTCAAAGACACCGTAGACTGCTTTAATGAGTCTTTTATGCTTTTTCAAGAAGGTGATTGTCTTAATTTTATTTTGAAAAAAGGAACATGAAGTCGAGAAAATGTTCACCCTCAAAGGTGGTCGTATACCATCCGCTGCTGTCAAGAACATTGTCTTTTTTGTTCGACCAAGGTTGGAATTGATGGACATCATTGCAGAAAATGTTGCAAGGTAAGTCAACAAAACAGAGTATGAGATTGATCAAATCTGATCTCTTTTGGCAGGACTATCCAGCACTACACTGAACAGTCAAACAATGGCCTGAGACAAGTATAAGCTTTTAATAAAATCTGAACAAACACAATGGTTCCATTACCTTTTGTTCTGTATACGGTAAGCCAGGGCTGTCCAAACTCGGTCCTGGAGGGCCGGTGTCCTGCAGAGTTTAGCTCCAACCCTAATTAAACACACCTGAACCAGCTAATCATGCTCTTACTAGTCATACTAGAAACTTCCAGTCAGGTGTGTTGAAGCAAGTTGGAGCTAAACTCTGCAGGACACCGGCCCTCCAGGACCGAGTTTGGACAGCCCTGCTGTAAGCTGTTTATAAAACAGGGATCCTCAAATCTGGCCCACGAGATCCACTTTCCTGCAGAGTTTAGCTCTAACCCTAATCAAACACACCTGAGCATGCTAATCAATGTCTTCAGGATCATTAGAAAATCACAGGTAGCTGAGTTTGATCAGGGTTGGAGCTAAACTCTACAGCGCATTGGACCTCCCGGGTAAGATTTGAGGAACCCTGTTATAGAACATGCTGATTTTTAATTTTGAGACAAGGTTTGCTTCCACAATGACAGGTATTTTGATTAAAGAAAATAAAAAGGTAGTTTTAATAATGTGCGTTGATTGCTGGCTGTAGTCAGTGTCAGTAATACTGTGTTGCTGGTGATATTGCATTTTAATATTTGCATTGCAGTGAGGATAAATTACAACCACGAGAATTCCACATCCTGTTTGTGCCTCGCCGGAGTCTCCTGTGTGAGCAGCGGCTGAAAGAGAAAGGGGTTCTGAACTCGTTCACAAACATCGATGAATACATTCTGGACCTTATACCTTATGATGGAGATCTTCTTTCCATGGAGTCTGAGAGCTCCTTTAGAGTAAGACAGTCTTTGAATGTCAAGTTTATTATGGATTTGTGTTCATCTTCTGAAGGATTTCAGATTCGGCATTAGTTAGACCTTGACTTGAAATATTAATGGATGCAAAATACCATTATTATTAAGATTTTTGGGGACATAGAGGCTAGTTCTAAATGCATACAAGTGCTGTGCATATTTAGCTTAATAGAGTAAAGCCTGACACATGAAATAATAGTCCACAAAAGTACTTTCTTATGGAACAGTTTATTTATTGTCAGGCCTGAGCACAGTTATGCAATTTAGTGCAGATGCTGATATTTATATTGGTAAAAAGTAAGATGAAATGCTGATAGCTTGTAATTTAAATCAGCGACGTTATAACAAAGACTACTTGCATAAAATCATGTTATCACTATTAGTTGTCACTGTCACTGTCACTATACTAATAATGTGTCTTATAAAATTTGATGATCAAAGCTCTGTGGTTTAAAAACATTTAATGCAGTGCAACACTACTTGAGAGTAGACCAAATAAACCTTCCACAAAAGCCTTATATTTGATACTCACATTTTAACATGATTTTTCTAAAAAAAAAAAATGATGTATGGATAATCAAGTAAGTTGCTTCATTAAGTGTGCATCTTGAAATATTAATAATATAAAAGTTGTGTGTTATGTTTACTTTATAAAAATCAATAAAGATTTCACAGCAAAAAGACGTGAACATGAATGAGCTGAAGAGGGATGTTTTTACAGTTGTACCATTTAAGACCCTTTACTTGCTAAAATAGTTTTAACTGATCAGTCAGATGACAGAAAGGCATGTAGTAGATTGTATTCAACATCTTTTTCAGTGAAATTTTGATCTTGTTGATAGCTTAGAGGTCTTAGAAATGTGCATTATCAAATATGATACTGCAGACTTTATTTTTATTGACGTTAAGCTGCAAAAGTGTCTCGTTTAAAAATCTGTTATTTCATAACATCAAACATTTGCCAAACTTTGTGCTGACGTATGCGTGAGCAGATTATGATGATCACATAACTGTTTTCTATTATGAAGGAATGTAATTTAGAGAATGATCAGACAAGCCTGTATCACGCTGCCAAGGGCCTCATGACTTTGCAAGCACTTTATGGAACAATACCGCAGATCTTTGGCAAAGGCGAGTGTGCAAGGGTGAGTAGAAAAGCATTTGTGTCAACTTTGCCTATTCTTTTCAAACATTTGTGCCTATTCTTTTCAAACATTTGATGCCATCTAGCATCTAGTTCTTCCTCAGTGGTACTTATTTGTTGTAGTCTTGTTTTACATTGCACTGATTTATTTTTATTTCTCTTTTTGTTTTTTTTTTGTTTTTTTTTGTTTTTTTTTGTTTTTTGTTGCATGGTGGTAATGGGCTGTGTCTTTAACAGCATGTGGCCAACATGATGTTGCGGATGAAGAGAGAGTTTGCGGGGAGTAATACTCAAATCCTGCCTGTTTTTGATACCCTCCTCCTGTTGGATCGCAACGTGGATTTGCTTACGCCGTTAGCCACCCAACTTACCTATGAGGGTCTTATCGATGAGATCTTTGGCATCACCAATGGTAAATGAGTTTTAAATTTGTGCAGACATAAAATAAATACTTTAGAAATATAGAACTTTAAAGCTATAAAGATCGTATAATGAGGTCGATCTCATTTTTCCCAATAGAAGTACCGAATTTTAACACTATAAAGATTGTATATGCTCTGGTTTTCCCCAGTAGTCTGTCCTGTCATACCTTTTTTGCTTGGACAGGTTATGTGAAGCTTCCACCTGAGAAGTTTGCACAGAAGAAACAGGGAGAAGGTGGGAAAGATCTCCCCACTGAGCCGAAAAAACTGCAGCTCAATTCAGCCGAGGAGCTTTATGCTGAAATACGGGACAAGAACTTTAATGCTGTGGGGGCGGCTCTCAGCAAGAAAGCCAAGATTATATCAGCTGCGTTTGAGGTTTGTGCTGCATTTTGTGAGCCTGCTGGCTGAGACAAACCAAGAACTACTGATTTTAAATGCATTTAGCAAGAAAATAAGCCTCCCACTTCCTTTGTCCACGATTTTAGTGAACCGTTTGCATTTATTTGATCAAGAACACCGTAAAACTGTTATACTGTGTAATATTACAATTCAAAAGAACTTTTATTTTTGAGCAATTATTCCTTTGATCAAAGCTGAATTTTCAGTGTCATTTATTCTAATATGCTGATTTGCTAGTGTTTACCATTAATGATCTGGTTTTCTTGTCTCTGTGCTAGGAGCGACACAATGCAAAAACTGTTGGCGAGATTAAACAGTTTGTTTCCCAGTTGCCTCACATGCAGGCAGCTCGAGGTTCCCTGGCTAATCACACCTCTATTGCTGAACTCATTAAGGACATAACAAGTAAGTCTGAGACCAATCATTTGTACATTCAGAATGGAAGTATTTCTGGTTCTTTTCCGCTGAAGGTCTGTGGAACGCTGTCAATTACAGCAGACAACAATTGTAGCTCATCCATCAGTTTGCACACAAAAAATGATTTATTTGTTTATTTGATTTTAAACTAGTTTATAGTTATTGTTTACAGAAGAGAGAATTCTGACTAGTAATATAGAGTGACCAACTAATAACATACTAAGAATAGCTTTTATATTTTATAATTTATACCCCCGGTTTCACAGACCAGGCTTAAGCCTAATTCCAGACTAAAATGTAAGTCTGGGCTGTTTCAAATGAAAGAAACTTGCTCTGATTGACCTTAAAATATCAGTGCCTTTATTTTGTCTCAAGATGCACACCAGTAATGTTTTTTTTCTAAGGCACGTTTATAAAAATTACTTAAATGTCCAAATTGGACTATGGCCTAATCCTGGTTTAGTCTAAGCCCCGTCTGTGAAACCAGGCCATAATTATAATTTAATTTGAACAATAGATATTTATAAACATGACCTGGTTAGAAATGCTGTTGCTTAGAAAGGCTTTGTTGTTTTTCTTACTCTTTTCATGCTGTAAATTTAGAGGATTAGCCAGGATTAAGTTATTCAGTTAAGTGCAATTGCTAATTCTACTAATGATGTTTATTTTTAGAATTTCTGCAACAAGTAGTAATCGTTCTTTTGCTGGTATCAAGAATAAGCATTTAGTAAAACATAATTTTGAATTTATATCCTGAATTATAAAC